AAGGTGAGATAAACATCATCATTATTACAATGCATTTTACTGAGAAAAGCTGAAGAGCCTAAATTAGTATTCGAGAACAGCTGTAGACTTGATTTTTAAAAATATTTATGCATCTCCATTTATATATGTGAGTATGACAGCAAGCGCCAAGACATTTTAAAACATGAATACCTAACACCACTCCAGCTGATTGATACTAAGAAAGGTAATTAACACTGAGATAGGAAATGAACCATGTTAACAAGCAAATAACACTCTCAGATAAAAAAATGCAAGCCAAATCTTATCTTTATGAATAATATTCCAAAGTATGTTCTGATCCATAAACAGAGGAACAGTTTCCCAATGTTTTTAAAAAATCATTAAAATTCAAAACAAGATCAACCTTCTTAGACAGCAAAGAATAAGACAGCTTTTCTTGAAGGGTTATAACAGTGATAATTTATATTTGCTCGATCTTATGAAGCAGGCACAAGCCCAACAAAGCTTTTGTCATGATGAATGTGTTAGCCTTAACACACCACAGGATTGCTAGCTGTTCTTGCAGAAAGAAACAAAGATTGTGATGGGTTTAGAATACATACTTGGGTTATTCCACACAGCTCCCACGTTTTTCAGTTTCCGTTAAAGTCTTACAGCAATGGCAACAGACAGAAGAGTACCCTCTCAGTGATTTACTACTATACAGGATCATCTTACACCACAAAGCACATACTCGGAATCATGTGGAGGTTGCTGACATACTTCTACATGATCCTACTTCTATTTAACACATTTTAGTGAATGCTGGAGAATATTTAAAAGAAGAATCAGCATCAAAGAGCAAAGCCTTAATCCTGTTTGTGTGCACAGGCATTCCACTCACCCAAAGCAACTTGTCAATCATGGGGATGCTACCCAAAACGCCCAACTGAGTGGGCCTGTTCCAACCTGGGATTTCGCTTTATAAATCTCAATGAGCAATTCCACATTAGACAACTGACTGAGCCAAGGTTTCCTTAGTTCAGCATAATATGATTAAAACCATGCTACCCAGAAAAAGAGAGATAAAACACCAGAGGTTTTCTAGAGTATAGAACTGAGAACTGATATGGAAAACCACTGTGAATTTTTAAACCATGTCCAAATTGTACCAATCCAAATTCAAACGCTCTAATAATTCTGCATGCCACAGTCAAGACTGCCTACTGTAATGGAAAACAGCTCTAGAACTCACAACCTCTGAGGATGGCTGACATAGATGCAAGTGAAACTCCAGGAGAGAAAGCTTCTAGAACATGGCCAAACAACCCAAAAAACCTACAATGACCCAGCTCTAGAACTAGCTAGGAAGGTAAAACACTTATACTTGAGAACTTTATATCCACATGCAGATAGAGCAATAAAGAGACAGAAAGGTTTAATAATTAGTGTGAACCATCTCTAAATGTTGAGCGCTTGTATAATAATAAAAAGGGCAATCTCAGGTGATGCAATACCCTTCATATATTCCTTCAGCTATGCATATATTCCTCGACATCTACCTTCTCTGTAAGACCATTGGCTTCACCCAATAATCCTCATTCCTAGCTGGAGCCAAGTATAAGCACATACAATATTCCTTATATAAAATAGCAAAATCAAGCTTTCCCTTTTTTGGGAAAATAGAACATTTTCAAGCTATGGATAGTTCAACCAGTGAATACAGACTCTGTGGATATGGAGGGCCAGTTGTATAATTCTATTTCCCCACACCCACCATTTGCAAATCCCTTCTCTCCTTCCCTGCTCCCATTGCTCTCCATTGCCTATTTCCATCTGCAAGATGCCATATAGACTATACAGATGTATTAATATATACTTAGACACAGCAAATAGAAAGTCTTGCCTCAAGTAATTAAAGCAAATATTTTAGGAGTTAAGAGTTAAAAAAAATTCTGAGGAAGTTTGCAAAATGTTGAGTGCATTACTAATACATGCTTTTTCATGAAGTGTCATTTAAATGAGGCTTTTAAGAGAAAGCAATTCAACGGAGAGCATTAGCCTCCCCCCAGCATTACAGACAACAGAGCAAAGACCTTTGAAGACTTGCTAGTAACATTATAACATGTAAGTTCAAGGGCATTAGCAAAAAATGAAAATATCAAGATCCAAGATGTCCATTCATGTCTCCCATCTCTTTTGATACAAAAAAGGTCTTAGAAGATCTAAGGAATCCAGCCAAGATCAATTTGTGATTTGTTTTCATGTGCAACGCTAGCTAGTTTGGTTCCCAGGAAACATAAGTATGCATGTATTTCAACCATATATTATGGATTAATTCTCACACTGCTAAACCATGAAAAGTTACAAATATGTAACTTCATTTTAGTCCTTCGTAAATACTGGAGAAGACACTCAGTCACTCAGTCACTGATTTCTACAAGTGCTTTCACACCGGCTTCAAAATATAGATATAAGCCCCTGTCAGGAGTGACTTCACTATGGAAGAGCTGATATAAAATAGATTTTCTATATCCCAATTCTATGCGTTTCTGTTCAGAAGTAAACTCAGTCCTCTTGAGTCCAATAGGAGTTGCTTTCCGGTAGATAAGGCACCACTGTATCACCTGCTTTTCAGTAATTTATTCTAGCAGAATTTATGGTGACACTTGGCACAACAGATTTAAGAAAAAATTGCACTTTTTGGTATGAGATGTTTATAAGCAAAATAGGAGCATAGCATAGCTCCTATATAGATTTGTATAATTCATAATGTAAATTAACATATTCAGTTCCTAGGAAAATGCAGAAACTATGATTCAAACATCGGGGGTTATTTCTCTGATCATTCATAGAGCGAGGTAAACTGATTATTTCTAGAGGGATTGCTTGCATGAGTAAGGATTACTCATGCACACAAAAGATGGCAAGATAAAATCCTAAACATTTAATACTGAACAAGCACAAGCATTTTGCTGTCTTCAGCCCAGGTAGAAACATCAACAGCCTTCACAGCCCAGCGGAATTTGTATGCAGGTTTGTCAGTCGCATTCAGAGAAAGCGATCTCAGCAGCTGAATCTCAGAGGTCAACAGTATGTGGAAGCTTAGAAGGACGCAAGCTATATTCCACAGCAGATTTGGAGGGGAGAGTTACTATGTATTCTGCTAGGTAAACGTATAACACAGGAAACTTTGAGCTGAGGGTGAGGGACTACTGTATCCCTAGGATTACTTCCACAAGGGGATTTAAAAAGTCTTCCAAGAAGGAAAGTACTCATGTGAGTTTGTGAACAGGCATTCAGACAGCCATGTCCTTCAGCAGGTCAAGTACATTCCAAATCTTTGGCCCAGTTAACACAGTTGAAATATTTTTTGTATTATTATATAGAATTTATTTTAAGTGAAGTTGTTTGCAAAGTTTAATCTAGAACACCTCAATAAAAAAAATACCAATGGAAAGTTAAGGTCAACATGACAACTACAGACACAGGTCATTATGTTGTCAAAGGATTTCATGGCAGAATCTCTGGGTTGCTGTGAGTTTTCCAGGCTGTATGGCTATGATCCAGAAACATTCTCTCCTGACATTTCACCCACATCTATGGCAGGCATCCTCAGAGGTTGACTGCCATCGATGTGGATGAAACATTATGTTTTTCTCTTGAAGAAGTAGCTGGATAACCAGACACACCGTAAACCTTCACGTGGAGCTACATGAGCAGCAGATTGGGTCCCCAAAGCTGCATCTTTTAGTTACCAAGCACTGATCAGGAATGCTTTAAATTAATGTGGAATCAAAATGAGAGCCTTTCCAGCGTGGAATCCGACATGTTGCCTCTCACCTCTCTGTCTGGGGCGACACTTTGCAATTTGTCTCAGCAGGCTCCGATCTCTTGATGTCAGTATTTTCCTTGCAATAATGATATTATTAATAAAGGAGGTGGAGACAGCCTGTGGCAACGCAGCTATCAATGTATTATTAGTTTCTTCAAACTCCTCTAGGGAATTTTTTTTCTGTGTCAGGAGCGACTTGAGAAACTGCAAGTCGCTACTGTTGTGAGAGAATTGGCTTTTTGCAAGGACGTTGCCTAGGGGACGCCCGGATGTTTGATGTGTTACCATCCTTGTGGGAGGCTTTTCTCATGTCCCTGCACGAGAAGCTGGAGCTGACAGATGGGAGCTCATCCGTTCTCTGGATTTGAACTGCCAACCAGTCGGTCAGCAGTCCTGGTGGTACAAGGGTTTAACCCATTGTGCCACCGGGGGCTCCAACTCCCCTAGGTACTCCTGTGACATGGAGGCTGAGCAGGTGCACCTGTCAGCTACAGGAACCATCTCCTGAAAGGAACCGTTCCATAAGGACCTTGTTTTTCCTTCCCTGAGAGACTCCAGCACCCTTTCTGCTATTCGAGGATCACTCTCAGATCATGCTACCTTGAAGCCTGGGAACAAATGTCGGAAAGGGAGAAAAGCTACAAGAAAGAGGAGTTTAAAAATAGAAACTTGAGAGCTGCCCCAACTATTGAGACAACACACCTAGCTGTAGTTCAAGGGAACCCGATTCAACCTATGGGGATATTTTCAGGCAGAGGTTTCCAATGGGATGTTTACCTGAGGCTCTCTTTCCTATGGGGTCTTATTATTTTGCCTTCGCAAGTAGCAGCACAGGGCTCTAATCTACTTCGTCAGGGATTGGAGGGGTTTTCTTAACGCACCCGAAGTTGTGATGGTTGTTGTTGTTTGGGAAAGGGAAACCCGACGAGGAAAAGGGAATGACAGGCAGAAACTTCATCCCCTGAGTTGGGCAGCTTGGGCATCATCGCCTGGGGAAGATTGAGGGGAAAGGAGGGAGAAGGGTGCCTTGGCTCACCGGCTCCCGAAGCTAATTAGTCATTAACCCTTCTGGCTAATTAACAAGCTCCCCCCTCCCTCCTTTCTCCCCTTGTGCCGTGCCAACACGAAGAGCCCTCCACAGCCCAGCAGCCTGGCAGCCCGGGACTTGGTCCCTGGGCGGTTTTGCGCGGGAGAAGCGACTTACGTGTAATTCTGAGGGAAGCTGTATCCCTGGGCGGCGGGGGCGGAGAGGACGAGGCACAGGAGGAGTTGGCTCCAAAGAGCCCCGGCCAGGCGAGAGGCGCCGCCGCCACCGCCGCAGGTCTGCCGCCGAGCCCACATCGCCATCTTCCCATTAAAAATGCGGCGGATGAGGAGGAGGATCAAGGCACCGGCGAGCAAGTCTCTGCCGCTTCTTCCCCTTCGGCGGGGCGGCCCAGGCGCTTCCTCCCTCCGGGGGCCCAGCCAGGGAGCCGGGGGACACCCTCTTGGACACTCTACGGAGCCACTCAGGGGTCAGCCTGTCACCTCAGCAGCAGCCGGTGGCAGCGGCGTCAGTCTCCCTCCTTCCTGCCTTCCTTCCTTCTTTCCTTCCTTGCCTCTCTCTCTGTATGCCTCTCTCTCTCGCTCGCTCGCGCCTTCCTTCTCTCTCTCTCTCTCTCTCTCCCTCCCTCCTCCCTCCCCGCGCGACGCTGTCACGAGCGGGGCACTTCTCCGGAGACTGGGGCTCTCGCGCGCGCGACGCGGCCAACACTGAGCGAATACAAACTGCTACTTTCCATCAAATAGGCGGCCAACCTGGCCAGCCTCCTCCCCTTCCCTCGCCTGCCTCCTCCTCCTCCTCCTCCTCCTTTTCCCGGCTGCATCCCTCTCTCTCGCTCTCGCTCTCTCTCTTCCCCCCGCCCCACCCGCCAATTCGGAACGCTCTCCATCCTCGGCGGGGATCTGCCGCGCATGCGCGCTACTCCTCCTCCTCCTCCTCTTCCTCCTCCTCCTCCCCTCAGACAGCCGGCTGGCCTCGCGCGCCTCTTGGACCTGCTCGCTGGGCCCGGGAGGCGCGCGCCCCGCTGAGCATCACGCGCACAGCACCGCTCGTGAATTGCTGTCTTCTTCTTCTTCTCTTCCCCTGCAACACAGCATAGGTTGTAATGGGAAGCTGTGTGGGGCAACCCATCGCCTGGTCCCATTTGCTTCCCTCTCTGATGCTGCCAGCGACACAGATTCAGTCCTCCCTCCATCCCTCCCTGCCTGCCTGCCTGCCTGCCTGCCTCCCTCCCTTCTCGGGCGCCCGCTTGCCACCAGACCGCACGCACGCTCCCGCCGGTCCCTTCGGTGTCCCTTCAGGCTGCGTGGCGCGGTCTCCCGGCTGTTTCCCCCGCTTCCCGAAGACCCATCGGAAGGAGCACCTGCAGACCCGAGTTGATTCCTCAGCTGCCACTTCCTCCAGGTTACTGTTCTAAGCAAAGAAGGCTGCGAGGAGCTCAGCACAGCCTTTCAGAGAAAGAGAGATCAATGGGAATGCAGACCTAGTAGGCAGGTCCTTGGAGTCCTCACATTTTAGGAACGCTTCCCAGTGTAATTAAATTGAGTTTTGAAAGCCGTGCCAAATTGACATCTCCATGCAAGTGTGCAGGACCTGGATTCAGGAAGCCTCGAGACTGGCGCAGGCAGGGCCTAAGTATTCCCCTAGATAGCAGATCCTTTCTAAGAAACCCCGGTGGCGCAATGGGTTAAACCCTTGTGCTGGCAGGACTGGAGACCTCAGAGGAGAGTGTTGATGAGCCCCCTCTGTCCGCTCCAGCTCTTCATGCAGGGGTATGAGAGAAGCCCCCCACATGGATGGTAAAACATCCAAACATCTGGGCGTCCCCTGGGCAATGTCCTTGCAGACGGCCAGTTCTCTCACACCAGAAACAACTTGCAGTTGCTCAAGTCGCTCCTGACACACACACACAAACCAAATCATTTTTGATCTCAGAAGCTAAGCAGGTTAGGGTCTGGTTAGTACTTAGAAGACTGCCAATTAATGTTGTAATCTATAACACACACACACACACACACACCCATCCCACCCCACTGTGCTGAAAAACTACAGACCAATCTCTAACCTCCCTTTCCTGGGCAAGGTGCTAGAGCGGCTGGTTGCCTCTCAGTTCCAGGGATTCCTAGATTACTTTCTAGATCGGTCACTCTTTAGACCTGGCCATGGTACTGAGATGGCTTTGGTTGCCTTGGTTGATGATCTTCAGGGAACTGGACGGGGGGAGTGTGGTCTAACAATCAGCAGCCAGACTGTTAACTGGAGCAAAGTACAGGGAGTGGACTGCCCCCTTTTTAAGGAGCTCCATTGGCTGCCATTCATTTTCCGGTCCCAATTCAAGGTGCAGGTTTTCACCTACAAAGCCCTGAATGATTTGGGACCTGCCTAATTTGGTGACCACATTTCCTTCTACGAACCTGCATGAGCTCTTTGATCCTACAGGGAGGCCCTCGTCTCACTCCCACCTCCATCACAAGTGCAGCTTTTTGGGAACAAGAGAGAGGGCCTTCTCCATGGTAGCCCCTCGGCTTTGGAACTCACTACCCAGAGGGATTAGGCAAGCTCCTAATTTTCAGGAGGGTGTCTCGGGGGGGGGGGGTGAGTTTCGGGGGGGGGGGGGCTGAGTCTGAGTGAAAGAGGGTCTAGCCTAGCAAACCTTTTGTATCATTACCCCAATACCCCCATGCATCTGGGATATATTGAGTATGGTGATCAGATCATGATATGAATAAACATAACAGTTTAAATAATGCACCAGTAAGGCCTTTTCGCGAACCACCATGAGAATTTCGGGGGGGGGGCTGAAGCCCCTCAAGCCCCCCCCCCCCCCCGGCTACATGCCTGCTTCTGAATCTCCCCTCAGACAAATTCCTTCATTTATCCATCTCACCCAGGGTTTTATAAATTTTACCCTTTGCATTTGGCCTGCCCACTGTGTTTTTACTATGAATGTTACTTAAACTGGTATCTGTACTTAAGTTCGTTATAATAGGACAATTACATATTTACAATTCATTTATAGATATCTGTGTTACTTGGCCTCATGTTAGCCAGCCCGAGTCCCCTTGGGGAGATGGTGGTGGGGTATAAATACATTTTATTATATTATTATTTAAGCTATATATCAGAGGCACTGCCTCTGAGTGTTTCTTGCCTAAGAAAATCCTATGATATCCATAGGGTCACTATAAGTCCATAGGCAACTGAAAGGGGGACAGACTGATGGATACTTTCAAGCTGGTTTGACATTGCATTTTAACCAAATATAGAAGATCTTGCTTAGGGTACATATTGTGTGCCACCATCCCGCACCCAGCATTTCTGAGCAACAACCTCCATCATCCTTGGTCAACACAGTGGTGAATCCAAGACATTGCAATTCAACATCAAGCACAGAGGGCTGCTGTGCGTTTTCTGGGCTGTATGGCCATGTTCACACTTGCCTCAAGCAGACTACAGTTCATTCTCCCTCCCTGTACATTCCGCAGATATATATGTCCCACCTAGTTTTCAACAGACTTCACAACTTCTGAGGATGTCTGCTATAGATGTGGGTGAAATGTCAGGAGAGAAAACTTCTGGAACATGGCCATACAGCCCAGAAAACTCACAGCAACCCAGTAATTCCAACCATGAAAGCCATCGACAAGACATCAAGCACAGAGTTCTTGCCCATTCTCTAAAAATATCCTTTCATGTTAGAACAAATCTAGCACTGCTACTAGCCCTACACTATTCTTGTTTGGTTGTAGGCTTGTGACATCTTCTAGTATACCAGTGCCATCCCTCCAGCACCAGTGACAGCTTTACTTGCAGCACCTGTACAGAAATATCATCTTTGATTTGGCAGGAACAAATAAATCCACATACTATCTGGTCAAACTGGACAAGAACACTCCACTGTTTCCAACCAATATTCATATTAAACCATTATCATAAAAGATGTAGATTAAGGTGATGCTACCGACTAAGGCAGATCCAGACAATATTCAAAACTTATTTGACACCAGTTACACTTTTTTGTGTGGGCTGTAGAGCCCAGTAAGGAAACAATAGCCACTATTTATGCACTTTTCAAATGAGGATTGCCTACTATGGGGTACAGTTTGGAATTGCAATGCACATACACACAAAATCCCCCTTTTTTGGTATTGTGCTTATGATTGACAAATACATCTTTCAAGCTGTCCACCTCCAGAGCATCTGATAGTGTCAGACAGTAATTCAGTTTTATAACCCTTTTCATAACATTACTCTTCAAAAATGTTGTGTTTGCACACAGTAACCATGAGAAGAGCATTTGCTTACCATCTAAAATGTAAATTATGTTACAGCCTACAGTCTGTATTCTTTGTTGTTAGGTATGAACAAACCCAACTTCTCAATATAAATTTCCAATGCCCTTCCCAAATACAAAATTTTCACAATTTTAAAAAATGCAGTTATAAGAAAAACATTGTGTTTACTGTAGAAAGAAGGACAAGAAATATCTTTAATGGCCAAACTGGGTGAAGGAGTAGTGTGTGTGTGTGTAGATGCATGTGTGTATACACTGTAATTCCACTTCAGCAACTGATAGACATAAGGTGCATTCCTCATATTTGGGGGCGGGGGGAGGAGGTTGGACTAGATGGCCCTTGTGGTCTTTGATTCAAAAATAAGCTCTCCTTATTACTTAATTATTGGACAGGACATGAATGATTGCTAGAACATAATGCCTGATATTCTGACAACAGGAACAGACTGGCTGTTGTATTGGATCACACGTCAGACACTTCCCAAGTGTCTAGGACTGTGTGATGTATCGGTGAATAATGCGTGCAGATCCCAGTAAGGTGGCCTTTTGCTGCTGGCAGATGGTAATTTTGTCAGCGCCGATTGTGTTTAAGTGCAGGCCAAGGTCTTTAGGCACTGCACCCAGTGTGCCGATCACCACTGAGACCACCTTGACTGGCTTGTGCCAGAGTCTTAGCAGTTCGATCTTTAAATCCTCATATCGTGTCAGCTTTTCCAGTTGTTTCTCTTCAATCCTGCTGTCACCTGGGATTGCAACATTGACAATCTATACTTTGTTTTTTAACATGATCGTGAGGTCAGGAGTATTGTGCTCCAAAACTCTGTCTGTCTGATTTGGAAGTCCCAGAGGAGTTTGACATGTTCATTTTTTGTAACTTTTTCAGGCTTGTGATCACACCAGTTCTTTGTCGCAGATGATATTTGTGGCACAGGTTCCAATGAATCATTTGAGCAATGGTATTATGCCTCTGCTTGTAGTCTGTGCGATTTTCTTGCAGCAGCTGAGGATGTGATCTATTGTTTCATCTACTTTCTTGCAGAGTCTACATTTGGGAGATGTTGTCGACTTTTAAATTCTGGCTTTGATGGTATTTGTTCTAATGGTTTGTTCTTGGGCTGCCAGAATCAGGCCCTCTGTCTCCTTTTTCAAAGTTCCATTTGTGAGCCACAGTCATGTTTTTTCTTTGTCAGTTTGGCTCTCAATTTTTCCCAGGAACTGTCCACGGAGAGCCTTCTTGCGACAGTTTTCTCTTCTGCTCTGGATTGTGTTTTTACGGTATTCAGTCTTTGTCTTTTGCACTTTGTTTATTACTATTGACTTCCCTCAATATTGGTTCTTGACACCCCTTCACATTATCTGCCAGTGCATGTTTCTCTTCTTCTACCATTTGTTTCACTTGCAGAAGCCCTCTGCCTCCTGATTTTCTGGGCAGGTAAAGTCTGTCGACATCACTACACAGGTGTAATGAGTAGTGGATTGTCATCAGTTTTCTTGTTTTTCTGTCCAGATCATCCAGCTCTGCCTGTGTCCAGTTCACAATTCCAGCAGTGTATGTAATGACGGGGATGGCCCAGGTGTTTATAGCCTTGATCGTATTACCGCCATTTAATTTGTCTTCAAAACCTTTCTGACTCTTTGGATGTATTCTTTGCTGACCACATTTTTCACATATCATCATCATCATCATCATCATCATCATCATCATCGGTTTCATCAGCCTCCTTGCAGTGTCTGCATTTTGGGTCATCAGCTGATTTTTCAGTCCTGGCCTTAATTGCATTTGTTTTGGTGGCTTGCTCCTGGGCTGCAAGTATCAGGCCTTTTGTCTCCTTCTTCAGTGTTCCATTCGTTGTTGTTGTTATTACTATTACTATTACTATTGCTATTGCTATTACTATTACTATTATATGTAGGACAACTGCCTTAACATTACAATCTTCTGACTGCTGTGCTCAGTAAAGTTGACTTCCCAATGCAATTCTATATTCACTTCCAGCTTTCTCTACTCTAAGGAATACCAGGAGAGTTATTTAAAAAAAAATGCATTGGATTATGCTGCTTGGTTGCATTATTTTACACGTGTGCCTGAAATAAAACTGCATTGAATTTA